TCTAAACTTTTATTATCAATGTTTAATGGGAGAGTTAAACAACTTTATACGTGTATCAGCCTCTAAACTTTTATTATCAATGTTTAATGGGAGAGTTAAACAACTTTATACGTGTATCAGCCTCTAAACTTTTATTATCAATGTTTAATGGGAGAGTTGATTACCCCATATGTTAGGTAGACCTGGCCATGAGATCACAAAGTATTCTCTCTGACAGACTCAAGTTAAGAATTTACTCAACTTTCAATCACTGGTTATAATGAGAAATATCTTTGATCCAGAAACACAAAACTGTGAACATAGTTTCTTATTGATGTATTTGATACATTAAAACAACAAAAGTTTTATAGAATGCTATATTTTAGTAAAATATGGAGTACAATTTTGAGTAAATTTTTAACTTAAAGATACTTTATGTAAGATTTAGATAAAGAGCTGGCCATTCTTGCTATACTAGTTCAAACATGGACAATGCAAAATGAATATATTGAAAATTTAATTCAAATTATTTTATTCTGAGCCAAGTTATCACTGTTTTAAGTTTTGAAAAATGTGTGCATTGTTGTAACCAATGTACTGGTATATTCAAGACTTAGCCTCGCTTTCTGTGCATTGTTGTAACCAGTGTACTGGTATATTCGAGACTTAGCCTCGCTTTCTGTGCATTGTTGTAACCAATGTACTGGTATATTCGAGACTTAGCCTCGCTTTCCCATTTTTAAATTAAATTAATAAATGGCGAACCGTTCTAATTTAGTTAAAATCTCGATTATCCGATGCCATCGAGAGTCGATCATGGTCTTGGTATATTAATAAATATCTAATTAATAATATATTTAAGATTTAAAGAAAGACCTGTAATAGGCAGATTGATCGGTTGAATAATGCATGTTTAAGTCTAAGAATGCTTTATTTCCAACAGGCCTGATACACCTGTTGGAAACACCAGGTATCATATTTAAGGTAATCGGGTTAGTATATTCATGAATATATTTGTAGCTGGTTTCTAGCATGTTATTATATTCAATAGTAATTTTTTTTTGCTATCATATAGCCTTTTTCTGTGTTATTTGTAGTTATATTGGTTTTTAATAATAAAAATATTTAACTTTATGTTTAATAGTCATTCTGTTATAGTGGTGGAGGGGGGGGGGGTAATATATTCCATGTCTAATGTCATTTAAAAGTTGTACAATTTGAAAGGAGGGTACGTACCTCCGCCTCATACCTCCCACTGCATACGCTATACAAGTGTACCACGTCCCACCCGAACGACTACACGGTCTCCCTTGTCAGTCCTCCTTTCTACACCACTGACAAGGAGATACCACGCTGGGACACCTTACTCACTGGCGTGTGGGTGGGGGGGGGCGTTAGCGCATGCGCGTTGTATCATAGGGTCTGTCATTGAGTCAACTGGCGTGGTTTCGATTCCCCGGTTGTACGTGACAAGGAGTAGGGGCGCCTGTCCAACCTCGTGGGTTTTCTCCGGGCCCTCTAGTTTCCTCCAACTGCTAAAGACCCCTACGCACAAGAAATATTGAAATAAAATTAAACCATATGTTAGTCCTGAAATGACCTGGTTTGTATCGAGTGGATGTTAAACCCAATTTCTCTCACTCGCCTCCTTACTGACTGATCCACCGCCGCTTCTCTGCCACAGCCAGCAAGAATGATATAAAATGAACAATAACCTACATCCCTTCACAGTTAATGGTTTAAGAATGACCAGGTTGTTTTTATAAGAGAAATTTTATTCACTATATAAATGAATGGGAGATTGGGGAACAGGCAAAATACCTATGTCATACCCTTATGCCTATTTACAATACAAGATGGTTGGGTGGAGTTGGGTGACAGAATGGTTAGCGCGTCCGCTTTGTATCATAAGGTCTGTCACTGAGTCAACTGGCGTGGTTTCGATTCCCCGGTTGTACGTGACAAGGACTAGGGTCGCCTGTCCAGGTTTACTCCCACTGCGCAAGCGAATTATTGAAATAAAATTGAACTATACGTTAGTCCCGAAATGATCTAGTTAGTGTTAAACCTCTCTCTCTCTCTCTCTGCCTCTCTCTCTCTCTCTCTCTCTGTAATTAATGTAGACGTGATGGCCGTCATTATAATATATGAGAGGTGACAAAAGGTTTAGTGATGAATTACCATTCATCGAGGGGGATTGTGTTACATCATATGGTTGTGTCATTGATTCAAGAGGCGTTGTCTCGCTACCCAGCTTGTACGTAACAAAGAGTAGAGTCGCCTACCCAGTCTCCGGGTCCTCCGGTTTCCTGCCACTGCTAAAGACCCAGGCGAAATATTGAAATAAAATTAAACCATATATTAGTCCCGAAATGTGTCGATTGGACGTTAAACCCTACTGCTTTCCCTTGCCATTCATCGAAAGCACACTTTGATGCAAAGAAAGAAAGAATCGAGAGATGGATGACGGAATGCAACATACCGAGACACGTTGTGCCAACACCCACGACCCCCCCACCCCCGACCCCATAACTAGGAAAATGAAACTACTTACAAGTGGTTTGTCCATGTCGTCGAATACATAATACAATTTATATACTTTGTATGTTGGAGAATAGCTAAGAAAATGAAACTACTTACAAGTGGTTTGTTCATGTCGTCTGCACGGGATCACACGGCGGTTACGAAAATTCCAATTCACAATTGGAGAGAGAGAGAGAGAGAGGGGGGGAGAAGTGGGTTTTAACGTCCACTCTACACAAAATAGGTCAATTTTAGTTCAATAATTCGCTTGCGCGTAGGGGTCTTTAAGAGTGGGAGGAAACCGGGCGAGCCGGAGAAAACCCACGAGGTTGGAAGGCGACAATAATCCTGGTCAAGTACAACCAGAGAATCGAACCCACGCCAGTTGACTCAATGACAGAATTTATGATACAACAGGCACGTGCTAACCATTCGGCCACCCCACTCCCCGTGTAAATAGTTAACAGAATTCAACTGATATTCCTTTTATAGATTCAACTTTGTTAAAATAAAGATGTGACGTCACCCTTTGATGTTGGCTTACCATTATTTCAAATAATCGTACGGGCAACTTGAAATATTGGACACGCGTGACGTATTTCTCTGTAAAAGCACGTGCGGAGTGTCTGTATTTTAAGTCGTTTAATGGTCTCGAGCTTAAGACATTGCGTAATATATTGTAAAAACTTATTTAACGTCTCGCTCTCAACCTATGAACAATGCACAATATTTCAATTTACATAGATTTTAATATTTTTCATTTCACTAAACACGTCATATAAATCACCGTATGTTGTTCCGGTCGGTGATGACGTCACCGTTATAAGGACGTATTTAAGTGACGAAATCAAAAGTTTTTTATTTATGTGTCACAGGTCAAACATCAGATCAAATACAAAAGAGATTTCTTTGTCCACAATAAACCTTTAATACACCATATAAATAATGATGGCCAAACAAAAAAATGTTATATTTAGGACACGCATCTCTAGAACAGGTCATTCTAAGCAATACATCAACCTTTTTTTAAAGGTATGTCCCAATTATTGTATATAAAGTCCTATTGTAGTCATATAGTATGTAAAGCTTGATATAAAACCTCAGACCAGCGCAAACGTTTTAAGTTGGTGGAAAAGGTAAGTTATTTTCTAGTCTATACAATAAACATATATTATGCAAGAGCTAAATCTGCCTATTGTTGATCTTTCTTTAGGCCTGGAATGTTTTCTAAATCATTAATTAGACATCAATTAACTTATCCAGGCCTTAATCAACTCTCTATGGCATTGGATTTATCCGATATTAAATAGATTAGAACAGTTCAGCCATATGAGACTTAGCTTCGAACAACCAGTACGGTGGTTGAAATTATTGCACTCATCGTGTCAAACCTTCAAAGGCTAATATCTTCGCTCGCAATGGAGTACTTTGAATGAAATTTTCAAATTATTCATTTTACATTATCTATTTTCGAACTATTATAGCACGAATGGCTAGCTCTTTATCTAAATCTTACATAATGTATCTTTAAAATAAATATAGAAATGAAATGGGATTTAACGTCCTACTTTCTTCAACAACCGGGAAATTTGGATACAATCTAAATTTATATGTTACCTAAATTCGTCAGTAGATATATCGCTTTACATGGTTATATGACTGTGTGTGCAGTGATCAAAAGCTATGTGGTCTATGCAAGACATGAGTTTGATTCTAGGCTTCTACTTGACCCGTATAAGGATCGCCTGCCTAACCACGTGGGTTCTCTGCGGGTCCTCTGATTCTCTACCCCCTCGAATTATTGTTTATTATCGTAACAGCGCTAACAACGACAATCGAAGCTACAGTGATTTTAAAATAAGCTTTCCCCTATTTAGAATGAAACAGTTTAACTGACATTTTCAGCATATTTTCTTTACATTATCTGGTTTTTAACTATTATAGTGAGAACTGCCAGCTCTTCATCTCATCTTCCATTATTTATCTTTAAATAGAACATCGCAATTTTTAAGCTTGGAGACATTACTAACTAACACATGTTGGTCCACAGACCCATTCACTTGTTTTGATAGTAATTTTATTATCGATTACTTACATTCTCCTTGGTCCGCGGGTTTGTCTTCTGGTTTCTCTTTGTTTATGGGCGGTGCAGTTCTCCTTAAATTGCTATGTCTTCCTATTGCACGTCTTTTTTCTGGCTTCAAATGTTAATATAAGAGATAACAGGGGCTATGAAGACCTGGTTATCCCGAGTGTCAGTGACTAGTTTCGTTCATATTATCTAAATCATTATTTAGACTCAATGAATAATCGGGGGTTTGGACATTCTGTGGATTGCAGAATGTCCGCCATATCTAAGTTAAAACGCTTACATGGTCAGCCAAGCCGATAGTGTATGACGTCACTCACAGAGACTGCCGTTAGAATTATACGTCTTTAACGTCTTTACTTCAATTATTTTTCAGAAGCATACAAACAAACAAAAAAAACAACGAACCAAAATAATGGAAATGCCAAGCATGTACAAACAATTTTTATTTATTTCCATCTTCATGGTGTGTTTTGTTCATGGTAAGTTTAATTGTTGTTTCAAATTGAAAGTTTTCATTATTCCGGTTCCTTGATAAAACTATTTATTGGGTTCTTAGATTACTCATAACTCAATCTGATTAAAACACAGATCCTATTTCGTTTCGTTTTTTATAGTTCAACATTTCGTTTTACTTGTCTTTACTACACTAGAGTGTGGAAGAGTTGTTATATAACCCGCGTTCTGATTGATGTGAGGGATTAGCCAATGAAACAACCTATTGCAGCGAATTATTGGCGTGCGATACACGGAACTGTGGGTATCCTACAAGAAACATCAACGTTTATTGATTAATCAAATGTCTGACGTCATAGGCCAAAAGCCGCTCGTATGTGCCCTGACGCGACCTCCCACTATAACTGGTCAGATCTTCATGTGGTGTAGGCCATTGAAAGTATTAAAAACGAAACGAAATATAGATGTGTATTTTAATCAGATCAGATTGCGTGTAACTAGGGAATGTAGTCAAGTCTGTTTATTGGTCGGAAGCCAAGACGACTCAGTGCATAAGACGTTTTCTCGCTAACCTGGAGTTCCCGTGTTCGATCCCGTTATTGGGCGAGAAAGTTCATCGGAATTTTCCTGCTTGATTCCAACTTGTCAGTGGTGCAGGACAGAGGCAAGAAACAATGTATAGTTGTTCGGACGGGACTAAAAATCGACGTTAAACCCCATTTCGGAGAGAGAGACTGAATGACAGACCTTATAGATTTTTTTACCGTATTTATATCATGATAATTAACATAAGATATATCACCCTGAAATTAGGGATTATCAACAATTTAAATACCAGAAAATACAATTGGAAAGACAGGCCCGTAGCTAGCGAGGGGGGGGGGCCCAGCCAATGTCACTGGGCTTTATGGGCACGTTGGTCGTTGGCTTTGTATTGCGTCAAAAGGAAACGGTTAGTTACGGGCCTGAAAGGTCTTTCTACATTATCTCAAAACTTTACAAACCTAGAATGAACGATCCGCATTAATTATTATTCTAAAATTTATTTTCAGCTCGGTATTTGGATATACCCGGAGGACTTGATTCAATGGACGGCACGATTGATGATATGTCAGAAACATTTCGAGATACACCAGACATAGAAACACTGGATACTCCGGGTTTGGAACCAGTTGGGGGTTCAGATGGTGTTTATGAAGATGTAATTGAAGATATAGGTGACAAGTTTGGTGAAATGACCGAAACATTTAATGATATGGGCGATACAGATGGTGTCGACGAAGATGTAATTGAAGATATAGGTGACAAGGTTGGTGAAATGACCGAAACGTTTAGTGACATGGGCGATACGGGTGGTGTTGACGAAGATGTATTTGATGATGTGGCAAATCTAGTTAGTAATTTTGAAGAAAGGCTTCGTGAATTGATCGATGAGTTTAGTGATGTTGGGGATGCCGATATAGTTAGTGATGGTTTTGACGAAGATGTTCTTGAAAATATGAGCGATGTTGTTAGTGATTTTGAAGAAAAACTTCATGAAATGACCGCTACATTTACTGATATGGTAGATGCAGATGGTGTTGACGACGATGAGGTTGAATACATGACCAGTATAGTTAGTAAATTTGAAGAAAGGCTTCGTGAAGTGACCGATACTTTAAGTAATATGGGTAATGCAGATGGTTTTGACGAAGATGAGGATGAAGATATGACCAGTCTAATTAGTAAATTTGAAGAAAAGCTTCGTGAGATGGCTGATGCCGATGATGTTGACGACGATGGGTTTGAAGATATGGCCAGTATGGTTAGTAAATTTGAAGAAAGGCTTCGTGAGATGACCGATGCAGATGATGTTGACGACAATGGGTTTGAAGATATCTTTAGCAATTTTCAAGAAAATCTTCGTGAAGTGACCGATGTAGGAAATACAGATAATATTGATGAAGATGTATTTGAAAATGTGATCGGTAAATTTGAAGACAGGCTTAGTGAAATGACCGATACTTTTAATAATATGGGGGATTCAGATGACGATGGGTTTGAAAATATGATCAGCATGGTTAGTGATATGGGGAATGAAGTTACAGAAATGTTTAATGATCTACGGGATAGAGATGATGTTCAAGATGATGTTCAAGATGAGATGAATGATATAGTAAGTAAATTTGAAGAGAGACTTCGTGAAATGACCGGTACAGAAGAGGATACAGATGATGTTGACGACGATGGGTTTGAAGATTTGATCGATACGGTAAGCGAAATCACCGGTACAGTAGGGGATACGGATGATGTTGACGACGATGGGTTTGAAGATGTGATCGACATGGTTAGTGATATGGAAGATAGAGTGATCGACATGTTTAATGGTGTTGGGGATGGAGATGATGCACAAGAAGACATGAGTGATATAGTTAGTAAATTTGAAGATAGACTTCGTGAAATGACCGGTACCGAAAGGGATACCGATGATGTTGACGAAGATGGGTTTGAAGATGTGATCGGCATGGCTAGTGATATGGAAGATAGAGTGATCAACATGCTTAATGGTCTAGGAGATGGAGATGATGCTCAAGAAGACATGAGTGACATTGTTAGTAAATTTGAAGAAAGACTTCGTGAAATGACCGGTGCAGAAGGGGCTACAGATGATGTTGACGAAGATGGGTTTGAAGATGTGATCGATATGGTTAGTGATATGGAAGATAGAGTGATCAACATGTTTAATGATGTAGGGGATGGAGACGATGCTCAAGAGGAAATGAGTGAAATAGTTAGTAAATTTGAAGATAAGCTTCATGAAATGGCTGACACGTTTCATGATTTTGGGGATAGAGATGATGACCTCGAAAATATAAATCATATAGTTAGTGATTTTGAAGAAGGACTTCGTGAAATGACCCAAACAGATAGAGATACAGTTGACGTTGACGACGATGGGCTTGATAATATGATCGGTATGGTTAGAGATACAGAAGAAATAGGTACTGTTGACGACGATGGGTTTGGTATGGTCGATATGGTTAGTGATATTAAAGATACAAATGATGTATTTGAAGATGTCATCGATACATTTAATAATATGTACACTGTTGATAATACGATAGATATATCTGATATACTAGAAATGTCATAGATATATCTGATATACTAGAAAATGTCATTGATATATCTGAAATGTCTTAGATATATCTGATATTCTAGATAATGTTATAGATAAATCTGATATTCTAGATAATGTTATAGATAAATCTGTTACAGATAATGTTATATATAAATCTGATATATTAGATAATATCATAGATATATCAGATATATTACAAAATGTCATAGATATATCTGATATATTAGACAATGTCATAGATAAATCTGATATATTAGATAAATCTGATATTCTAGATAATGTTATAGATAAATCTGTTACAGATAATGTTATATATAAATCTGATATATTAGATAATATCATAGATATATCAGATATATTACACAATGTCATAGATATATCTGATATATTAGACAATGTCATAGATAAATCTGATATATTAGATAATGTCATAGATATATCTGATTTATTAGATAATGTCATAGATAAATCTGATATATTAGATAATGTCATAAAGATATATCTGATATATTAGATAATGTCATAGATATATCTGATATATTAGATAATGTCATAGATAAATTCGGTGATAACAAGAATATATTAATACGAGGAATGTAGGTACATTTCTTGGAACGAGTACTTAATAAACTGCTGGGTTTTGATACTCCAAATTTAAATGGGTGACTTTCCAAATAATTTAACATATCACAGTTGTATCTCATCATCGCCTTCATCAAAATAAATATCTGTAAACTGTCTTCTTTTCTCATTGCTCTCACTACTGGGCGGGAGTCGCGTTGGATCGGTGAGTAAGACGTTGGCTCGCTAGCCAGGCGGTCCCGTGCTCGACTCTTGTGTTGGCCGAGAAAGTTCATCGGGGTTTTCCGGCGTGGTTTCCCTTGTTAGTGGTACAGGGCGGGGGTCCTGACAGCTGTCTAGTCGTTCGAGTGGAATGAAAATTCGATCTCCCGTGTACACATAAAAGAATCTTTGGTAGATTGAATGGGATATAAGAGTAAGCCGTAGCAACGCTGCCCGGGAAAAATTCCCCTCGTTGCACCTGTACTGTATGGCGTATGTCCGTCTTCTAGACAACGTCGATTAGCCCTCGTCATTGTGCCATTGACATGGCTGGCCTTTAATTGAAAAATAAACTCATTTTCTGTCCAAACACAAATATCAATCTCTCCGTAAAACAATGCTTAAAACAACCATTTTGCACATTAATGACATCAAAACACATTCAAGGTTCAGGGATCAATAACTATGTCTGTAATTTAAAATTTGATACCAATGTAATTTGGGAATGGTCTACTATTTATCATGTTGAAGAGGTATACAAGTCAAAATTCTGTGGAATATAATTTCTGAACGACATTTCTAGTAGGGTAGATATTGTTTCGTTCTATTTCGTGTTATATCATTGCTTGATATAAAGACTACACAAGCCTAGAAGTCACGTCACCCAGTAAGTATTGTTTAATGGTCGAGAGCGAGACGTTAAAGGACAATATTGGTGTCAGTCATTATAAAATATGTGATAGAACTGGTTAAATACATCCCAAATATAAATTTAACACAGAGATCATTGCTACGGGAGATGAGTAACAAGCACAGGAAGAAACGGGAAGTGACGCCAAACATGACAAACACGAGTTATCCTTCTATATAACTGATTGAAGTAACGAACGATAACATACAAACGATCGAATTTCATTTCACTGATAATTCCGTTGAAGTTGAAAAGTTATTATATGGGACGGTGAGGGGGTATCTCACAATTCAAAAATAGAATTGGCTGTCACTAGATATGGGAAAACGAGAAAAATAGAAAAATCCCGTGCATTCACCCGTTTTTATTCATTCTGGTAATTTGTTCGTTATCTTTTATCTACTGACAGTCAATTCTATTTTTGAATTGTGAGATACCCTCTCACGGAACTGTGGGTATCCCAGTAGGAACATCAACGCCGATTAGTTAATCAAAAGCCTGACATCATAGGGTCAAAAGCCGCGCGTATGACACCTGACGCGACCTCCCACTACAACTGGTAGTGCAGACCAATGAAAGTATAAAAAAATAAACGAAACGAAATATAGATCTGTATTTTAATCAGCTTGTTGTATTCCATAGAATTGCGACCGGTTTATTTCAGTTCAGTTACTAAATGCCATTGAAAATTTTTATGAGAGGTGGGTGGTGGGGTCTTATGGTGGATTTAACTTTCAAGAACAAAACTGTGTCACTCCCCGCGCTTTGACTATGAGTGGGTGCAACAAAATCTTATTTAGCTATTGTAACCAAACACATAGTATTTCGTTACTGCTCTTTATATGCCTGAATGGGATAGTTCAGTTATTTCAGTAATGTTTTTTAGAGGATTGGTTGAGTTCAAATCCGGGATTATCTTTTATTTCACATAAAAAAAATTACAAGTCCTGATGTATTTTGTACTGTGTGGTGTTGTAACTCTGTAATGTATTGTAACATGCAATAGTTACGGGCCTGTCACCACCTGACATCCATTTCGTTTAGGTCATGAGTGATCAAACCTCTAGTCCTGACTAGCCCAGTACTGTTATTGATCCACGGGTAGATGGCAATGCACGGGAAGATGAAGGTCTTTTACACCATGAATCCAACCTCGTGGGTTTTCTCTGGGTCCTCCGGTTTCCTCCCACTGCTAAAGACCTCTACGCGCAAGCGAATTATGGAATTAAAATTGAAACATATGTTAGTCCCGAAATGACATAGTTTGTGACGGGTGGACGTTACCCCCTCTCTCTCTCTCCAGGTTAGAGAGCCAACGTCTCACTCGCTAAGCCATCGCGGTCCCAAGGTCACTTTGAACTTACGTATTAAAATGAAATACAACCACCATGAGTGTCATTTGACACGCGGGATAAACACAAAACATGATATGGATCACAATTACTATTTTATTTAAAGCGACGTATCGTTGAAGATTATAGCCTCGTGAATATAAAGTTTAAAGGAGACAATTCTTTAACCCAATATTATGCAAAGTCAGAGCCTCGTCTAAGGATTTGGTCGTGCGCGGCAATGTCGGACAAAGCCCGACCGTCGAGCACCGTAGGTGCGAGCCGCGCGAACACCGCAGGTGAGAGCCCGCGCGGGGGGTGGGGCGGACCCTCCCCCTAGAAAATTTTGAAAGTTGACTCCCTTAGACTCGACTTCAGAGCACTTAAAATATAGTTTCGGAGATTTGATACACTATTAGTTTTGGCATCTTGTTAAACCATGGATTGATTAATACCCTGTAAAATCGAGATTGAAACACTGCTGCGGCTGACCCGTAGACAGAAATATACCCATAAAACAATCAGAAAGACGATTTTGTAAACCTACGCACCATGATATATACTATTCAAAAAAAGTAGGGGATATTTGATTTTTAAGTGTTATTAAAGTCACCTAATGAAACTAACGAAGAAACAAATGACAAAATGAAATGAAGTTCACATTCATCGATTTATTCCAAATGATCGTTAGACTAAGTAAGGCACAGACTGACCATTATAAGGGTAAAATGATACCTGGGGTCAAACAGCAAAGTTACCACAGCATCACAACCAAGTCAGTAACGGGTAAATCCTCCTCTGTTTGCCAAACAAGCATTGATCCGACGTGGCATACTCCTAATGAGACGTCTAAGGTCATTTTGGTCCAGATTGTCCCATTCCTGTTGCAACGCAGCAGCAAGTTCTTTGACATTGGCAGGACGTTGTTGACGTTGACGTAACCTCTGTCCAAGCATGTCCCAGACATGCTCGATGGGGGAGAGGTCGGGACTCAGTGCTGGCCACGGTAATGTGGTGATGTTCTGTTGTTGGAGGTAACCTGTAACGATCCTGGCCCTGTGACATCTTGCGTTGTCATCCTGGAAGATGAAACGGCGGCCATGACGTCGTGCGAACGGCACAACATGGACTGCCAAGATGTTGTCCCGGTAGTACTGGCCTGTAACACGCCCTGCAACAACATGTAAAGCCGTTCTTCCAGCAACAGTGATGCCTCCCCACACCATAACAGAACCACCCCCAAATCGATCATGTCTGATGACGTTAACGTCTTGGAAGCGCTCGTTTCGACGACGCCACACCCTCCTACGTCTGTCCAAAAAATCAACAGTGAACCTTGACTCATCTGAAAACATCACATTGCTCCAGCGTCGATTATCCCAGTGTTGACGATCCCTACACCAACGACGTCTTGCCTGAATGTGATGATCTCTCAAACAAGGGATCACGCGAGGACGTCGGGCGCGAAGGTGACCCCTATGCAGTCGATTCCGAATCGTCTGGCCACTCACTCTCACACCAGTGTCTGTTTGAAGACGAGCGCTGATGTGATTTGCTGTGATGACACGATTTCTCAAGGCCAAGGTACGGATAAATCGATCCTGGGCTTGAGTTGTCGCCCTTGGTCGACCTGAGCGGGGTCTGTCCTGTACAGATTGTGTATCACGGTATCTGGACCATAGCCTGCTTATGACAGACTGAGAAACATTCATCGTCCGCGCCACAACCGCCTGTGTTGTGCCGATCTGTAGCATGCCAAGGGCACGTAACCTTTCATTTTGGGTAAGCCGACGCATATCAAAATTTGTTTTCTGGTCACTAAAACAATTAAACTGATGTTTCCACCCTGGAATTCAATGCCACAATGACTGTAACATTCAAAGTCAGAGTCGTGCAAATCTTGGGTTGGACCCCCATGATGATCCCAAGCATCACCTGCATTCCATGCGGTAGCTATTGGTGCGTTTGGGCGTCACATGTAACTGGAAATGTTTCTTCTGTTAGGTTCTATAGTGACTTTTTTTGTAGTCATTTGCATATTTTAGTATTATGCCCCCAAAATCAAATATCCCCTACTTTTTTTGAATAGTATAGTATTGGCACATGGGAAATACCTTGTCAGCGATTTTCAAAACGTATGTATGTTGCCGCCCAGTCTTCAACTTTTGGGCTCAGTAGGTGGCACAGTTTGGCCAGTGCGCGGCGGC